CCAAACGTATCCCATGACCATTTAATGCTCGCTGCGTGTTTATGATGATTTCTTCAATTTTATTTTATATTTCATTGCAATACCTTTCGTAGACCTTTCATAGCATCGTAATGTTTATTTACTTTGCACGATAGGTAGCCGATTTGACAGTTCAATAGGTAGACTTGGCTTCACTCTTGGCGTGACTCATTATACACCGACTCTAGATCATACAAGTTTTGTTTGCACAAGATGATAGCCCCTTCAAATGTTTCGTTAGGTAGTGATTTCTATAGTAATTGAGAATATGTCCCTCGAATGCATGGAGCATTGAAAAATAAAACAAAAACTAATATGTGGTGGTAAACTATAACGAACAAAGTTTGGTGCACAGGCACACAAATGAGGCATGCGACGCCTCACCAGCAGTTCACATATAAATCTAAATACGATATGTAGGTTCTAGAGTGAGCTGAAGAGAAAGAAGTAGTTAAGGGGTTACGCGACCCTAGAATACAGAAAAATGCACCAACTTCATTATTTTTTTTTTGTTATTTAATAAAGTCACATACTAAATTAACTTATATGGGCTAATAGTTCACATAATTAGGGATGCTTACAGTATTTTTTCATAAGAGGAAACCATGTGTGGCAGTTGGCAGCACTGCGAGTTCCTGGCACTGATTCCCGGCCCACACTTTCTTCGTCGTAAATATGAACCTAGAACAAAAACGAGTGGTTTTTCTTATTTTATATAAGAATACCTAGAGAAGTACATACGGAGATGAAAAAACTTTGAATTTTACGCAAATGGGACTTGTTTTTGCAAAAAATCAGTTTTTTCGCCTGAAATTTGTTTCTAAAATTATTTACCACAATTGCATTTTTTGATCAATTGAAAAGTTCGTATGTACTTCTCTAGATAATTAATCAGAGAATGCAATCGTCAAAGTCTAGATCAAATTGAGTCAAAATTGCAGATGCTATCGTGTGGGCCGCGGAGAGAAATGTTGTATCGAAAAAAAAACGCGGTTGAAGTTTGAGGTATAGATTCAGGTACGTGATGCAAAGTTTTGTAATTTCGCTTATAACTTTCGCTTTTAATTTGTTCGACATGGAACCAATTGTCCCTTATTCTTGACACTTCAGAGTACCTTTTTATGTAAAAAAAAATCGATTTTTTGAAAATCCTAGGGTGGCGTAACCCCTTAATAAGACCCCATTATACCCTTTATTCAAATAATGCTGCAACTCACACAAAACAAACTACCTAAGTCTATTCATCATCCTCTATAGTCGGTTTCCAACAATGTTCCCCAGCGGTTCCAACTCTTTCTGACCGCTGCTTTTCACATCACGAAAGGCTAGGTTTTTGGTCTACTTTTGAGAGCATTATAAAACCTTAAAACATAGGACTTTTATCATCCTATGAACACAAAACACCAAAATTGCGCACATCCGCCACTTCTCGTGTTATCCTCAATTATCCTTGCGATATCAAACCAAAACATTCAAGGTGTCAGAAATACCGGGTTGCCAGGATGGATATTTTGCAAACAATCGCAGCTTGCTCTATGACCGACACAATAGGCACACTTGCGGCACACTGATTAAAAATGACGACCCAAGACTGGTGTGCGAAGTGACCTACCCCTTGGTGGGTTCTCATTATTATTATTAGTATTATCATATTTCTTATATTATAATTACCAAAGTGTTCTGATTGCCAATTGGCGATTAATAGTCTATGGAAATCGAGCTCCAGGGAGGCGTCTTTTTGATCTCCAATTAAAATACATTTGACTTAAAAATAATATTTGAAGTATCAAGATGGTTTTTGATCGGCACCGGTGGTGTAGTGGTAAGCTTGGTAACCTCTCACCCCAGCAGGCCTGGGTTCAATTCCAGCCGCCGAGATGTTCTGAGGCATAACATCTCTGATCACGCCTTCCTTTGGAAGGAAAGTAAAGCCGTTGGTCCTCGGTTCATGAGTTGATGGGTCGATAGATCTGGTCCTGGTGAGGGAGCTGCCTTTCTGGCGTCGGTAGCATTGGTGCTCAGCACGGAAAACAAGATCGACGGAAAACAAAATTTAAAAAAAATTGTTTTTGGAAAACCATTCAGATCAATTACATATCGAAAAGCGTCTTATTATTTGTTGCATTTCGTTCAGACTTCAATATCAATATGTCAACCCCAACAATGCATCGACTTTTTTCTTTCGTGAATAACTTGGCTACAAAAACGCCTCTGGATGTGTTTAGCTTCATCCATTGTCTCTGGCGATCCAAAGAAAAAATATCAAAAGAATCGATCAACGTGTTAGGACCTTATGCATTGTTCGGGTTGATTTCAAACCAGACGGTTAAGCTCTAGGGGCATCCCACTCTAAACTTAGTATTACTCACGTTGTACACAGAAAGTCCTTACTGATATCTAAGATACCTGGAAATACTTAAAAATACTTAGCGTTAGTTTGAAACCACAGTTGCTATACACATTTACTATAATTTGTTTGTTTATCCAATGTCGTCTGGCATCTTTTTGCGAATATAGTACCCAATCTTTGCCTGAAATACAATCCTTATTTATATGCCTTACAGTTAAAGTGACGAAATGTTATCCCAGTAATGGTTTCTATTTTGAGAACGAATTGAATGATGCCATGACGAACTATGCTAGCACTCAAACATTTCATGCTATGGTCTAGTTGATGGTCGTGGGAATCTTTCACCCGTTCTTCATTAATTCGAACGGGAAAATTAGTATATTGGCAGTGACACAGTTATTGGAGTAATTTAGGCTGATCGATGCTGAGTCCGAAGTTATGGAGGCTTTCCACAACATTCGCAACTTTATTTTAGCTTTCAGAAATTCATATCTCATAGCCTCCCGCCGAATGTGTTTATCTAAAAGTGAACAATAATTTTTCGGAAGGTTCCAACTTCCACTCTTCTTCTAAAACATCGATTTTCAACCTGGGGTTCGCGCAAACCCCCACTAAACGAAATACACATAGAAAGAAGCGATGTAGAGTGAGATTGATCGGTGGGGCAACATAAACGATAATCAAGGCTGGATAATATCGAAATGGCATATCCCTTTTTTGTTACTGTTGGAAAAGTTTAATCACTACAAGCCCCTCAATAAACCCCAAGGTTTTCACCCTAGGAAAAGCACTGCTGTAAGGTTGCCGAAACGGTTGTGGTATGTTATATGGATTGTTTAAAATCAAATAATTCAAATTAGCGTTGGATTTCTCTTTGCATTGTAAAAACAAATAATTGATGATATTTTTATGTGAGAATTGCATAAAAACTTTGAAAGAAATTATTATTTCACAATATAAACATGTATTTTGCCTCCTGCCAAACTTAGCGGACTTCTCCTTCATTTTATCGTGTTACACGAATCATCTGGTTGCCTCTAACAGAAAGGTAATGAAGAAAATGTGTTGCAATCGTCAATCACCTGCTTGTCATTGTCGATTCCGAAACCTAAAATCACGAAATATAAGTAGAATAAAAAACAAAAATCATTAACTACTAGCAGGATACTCCCTCAAGTCTCTTGCCAGTACAGCGCAGTCCACCAATGTATGCTCCTAAAAAAGTGGCACGATGGTCAGGTCCACCAACCCCACGAACAGTTTCTGTTGCAGCTGTAGATTCACCCGTGGCTCACTAGCAAAGGAGCAGCGTAGATCCGGTTTCCTATATATCGGATGAATTCTACAGTCCAACGAATATTCTGCCTTTTCCAAATAGTTTGCTGGAAATTTTTTTACTGTGTTACTATTACTATTTCATAAATCAAATTAAAATATTTACCCATTAACATAATTACACATATAATCTCGCATATCATTTAAATTAAAGCAAGGTAAACTATCCCATGGTAAAACTAATATAAATTCCACTTCTTGTACGTATTGTCAGAGTTACAACAACAATCAACTACACTAGCAACCGGTCACTACGATGAAAATTAACCAGGATTAAAATTACTTAAAAATACTTATGACAGATTTAAAAATATTTATTTGACATAAGAACTAAAGTTTATAGTGGGATACCCCTAGGTTAAGCTTGTTAGAACAAACTAATAATCCTATACACAGAGATTCGCGGAGATATTATTAGACGATTTGGCAACGTGATTTGTTTTGTTTACAAAAGCTGCAAACACTTGCCACGGAGTAAAATGTTCCAGCTTGGTGCGTGACTTTATCGTTACTTAATCTACGAGTTTTTTTTTTGTTTACGTTGTTTGAATTTTCAGTGAACTGGTGAACTATTTTTCAGTTTCCGAAATCCGCTGAACTTCGCAAAAAAGGCTGGAGTTTTGAAGACTACCGTCGGAAATTTCCCTAGCAGATTCTATACGGTATCTACTTAAAATTTAATGCTTGTTCCAGTGCCACTTCGAGCACACGCAATTGTATTTTACTAAAGAATTAAGATATATTGCTGAAAAAACAGAAATATTGCGTTCAGTGTTATTGCGCACTTCATACCAAATAGGACAAATAAGCGCGTTTTCACTTATTAAAAAGGGTGTGCGAATTTTCTTCTAATCATCTTGGTGTCTTGGGTGCACTAGTTTCTTTGGAAACAAGCAATAAGTGCTCCGAAGACACCAAAACGATTTGACGTAATCGTGTACTTTTATCACACTTTTTTGCATTTTTTGGGCTGTCCAGTTGCAGATGCAATCAGCAATTTAAACCAAATTGAAAAGTCTATACTTAAACCAAACTGAAAAATCAATATGACAGATTGTTTATCAGCAGTTACTGAAGTAATGGTCGTCATAGTCATAGGCTTAGCCGAACGGGGGCAGGGGAGGGCAACTGCCCCCCCCCCCCCTAAACTCAGCAACACAAAGGCTTCCGGTGAAATGGCGTTCGGTGAAATGGCATTCGGCCAAATTTTCCATAGTAAATTTTTTTTTCGCGCCCCCCTCCCCCCTTGCTCGAAATCTGGCGGCACCCTTTGTCATAGTAGCGCAAATTTATGCACTGACGGTGACAATTTTCCGCACTGACCCTATAGTCATTGAATTAAGTTCGGTATTTCAGTATTTTAAGTTCAAGAACCGCACTATCACAGTGCCTTTACATTTCAGAAGCTTTATCTTCATGTTTCCGTACCGTGTACTTTGATAAGACATATGGTTTTTTTTATCATACTTGATTCCAATTTGAAATTCGCTATAAATTACACATCCAGCTATTCTACTTTCATAGTTAACCTGTTGAACGCTAAGAAATATAACCCTTTCGAAATGAGCAAATCTGGAGGTCTGTCTTCAAAACATTATTCAAGATTATTTTTACCTCATTTAAAAAAACTATATCTTTCAGCGTTTTCGTTGCTTGTCATAGCCATCTTTGTAATAACCGCAGTAGCACCTGAATCACTTAATTGCGTGGGTAACGTGGGTATTACTTACTTCCCCAATCCAGATGCATGCAATGCATTTGTTGTGTGCGTAGAAGATTCAATACTCTTCTTGGCGTGCGCGGATGGTCTCATTTTTGACATATTCACACTCAAGTGCAGTGATCCCGCAACTTCTGTTTGTCTAGCGGATCTAATTGGCTCAACCGTACCACCAGAGTCCACCAGTTTATCGACAACGGCAATCACAACTCAACATCCACCGAACACACCAGGCACTAGCGAAGAACCCAGCTGCCCAGATCGAGGACTACATTTTTATCCCCACTTGACCGACTGTCAGCGATACCACAAGTGTCTATATGGTAAGCTCTTCGTGCTGTCGTGTCCACTTACTTTGCTCTGGAACCAGGAGATACAGTTCTGTGACTTCCGATGGAATGTTCCATGTAAGAACACCTAATAGCGTGATAATTGATGAATAAATAATGGCCAATCGTAGTAGGCAACAATGGGAGTGAACGTCCACAAATAAATGAAATGTTTGGAGTTTAGAGTGATAACAAGATGTGTCAAAATTTATTGTTCAAACGAAAATCTGTGGGGGCGGTAGTAAAATGGTTCAACCGGATCAATCAACGGTATTTATTAAACTTTTTTTTATTGCTTTGTCGGCTCCCAAATATGTCCTCAAAAGATAATAAAATATAGAGTTATTTCGAGTGGCTCACTGCTGCAGGATAATATGTAGTGTTACCTTATTGCTGATTCCACTTCTTTGAACAAGAGCTGCTTGGGATAGTTGATATCGATCCCAAAATAATTAAGCAGTAAGAATTGTTTACTATTTCTTGAATTTAGGAATAAATAATGAACACACTTCAAACTCATCTTTGAAATAATGATTTCATAAAATAATGCAGTTATGGCACTAGTACTCCAACTCAAATTTGAAATAAATCTTCATGCTTTTATTTACTATGTTCTAACGTTGTATCAAAATAAATTTGGTAAGGAACATTTAAATTAAGAAAAGGGCCAAGATCACTTAAACATATCAAACGTTCAGCAACACTTACAGAATTTAAAAGACACTGCATTTCATACGTTAAAACTGTCGTTTGAACAGTTAAGCAGTGATTTTATTTTATCAATTCACAAATTATGTAGGGGAAAGTCGGCCTAAATGCCCCTAATTTGGGCCCATACATTGTTTGCTAACCTGGTTAAAATGTCATATTTAACTATCATAAAAATAAATCGTCCAGCTCAAACCTTTGAAGGGTTAAGAGGTGGGACCAGTGTTGGGAAAATATCAAAAAATCAAATCTCACCAATGCCCAAGATCACGCTTGATTTTCGTACACAAAAATCAACAAGCAAGTTGATTTTGCAAGCTGTGATATCGCAGCTCGGAATATCAAGCTAACAAAACTCACTAGCTGCAAATCTCACCAAACTGTGGTGAGATTGAGCTTAATGAGCTTTGCTTTACACCCGAACACAACCAAAACTTCCATAACGGCTGATAGCAGTCCCTTCGTGTCTGCCATCGGTGAAGAGTAAAAAGAGATAGCAAACTATACTTTCTCGTTCTAAGAAAACGATGTGCAACGGAATCATTTTTGTGTCGAGTCAACTCTCAACTTGATTTTTGCACGTTGTGAATAGTCTCGCAATATCAAAGGAACTTGTAAAATCAATATCAAGCATGATATTTTGTTCCAAAATCACGCGTGATATTGAGAGCGTATGAGAGCGGGAAAATATCATTTGATTGATGATTTTGCCAACACTGGGTGGGACCATCATCATCATGATCAAAAACTGGCACACTTACCCTATACCAACTTCTGTTCTTAATACTAAACCTTGATAACATTTTTCTATTGGAGTCCCGGAGTGAAGACAATCATGAACGCAAGTTAAACTAAATTATAACTTATTTTGTTAAAATTAAAGTTGTTAACAAGATCCCTCCCCTTGGCTAGTTTTTAACCTGGACGTTGATGGGCCTAATCTTATGCGTTCGAACCAGTCGAACGCAGAATCCAGCACTTGAACAACATTTCAATCGGAAATGATGGTAACAAAAATCAGATTGCATTTTTCAAGCAGAACTACTTAATCAGCTTCAAGGACTACAACGCCTCCAAGAACAATCGCTTCCTTTAGTTGCCCCAGGTCAGCATAAATCGCGTTCTCCACTTATTCAAAACCCCACCGAGCATGTCCTAGGATCTGCTGCTGACTGCATTCACCACCAAGGACTGCCACCCGTAGCAAGTCCGAATGTTTCCGCTGAAATCGGAAGTGTTTACTCCGGATGGGTCGAGGTCCCGAGCGTAGTCCTGACGGTGTACGCCACCATGAAGCCCAACCACAGTGCGATCGATCACAAAGGCACAACATTTCCGTTCATTATGAAGCTGTGCTCCTCCAAGACGATGGATGATGCGTGGAGCAACGAGAACATCGAAAACACGTATGCTTGGATAGTGCGGAAGCTTATTTTTCTGAGAAAAGAAAGGATTTTCCTTTTTCTGTGTAGTTACTGTAATGATTCGTAATTATAATTTCTCATTGTGTTAGTTGGAAGTGCAAAAAGGCAGGAGAGTAAAAATAATTTGTTGAACTATTTGAGATTTGATTAAGACGGTCCTGCAACATTACCGTATGCGTGATAATGTTTGCACCATTGAGCAATGTCAAAATTTAGTGAAAAAAATCTCAAAAATTTCGTTTTTGGGTTTTTTTTATTTATTCAAAAGGGGGATGTTCCTCAGAGTCTTAAACTATGTTAATCATCGATCGAGTTTCCACTTGCTGCAATTACGGCCTCCACACGCTTCTTGAATGCACGGCAGGTTCTAATAATGTAGTCTGGATCCATTTCTCTCCAGGTACGGGTCAATGTTTGTCTGAGGCTTGCCGTACTCAGGTGGTGTTTAGAACAGGCCTTGACCTTCATGACGCGCCATATTGAGTAATCCAGCGGATTAAGGTCGGAGCTGGATGGCGGCCACATATCCTTCACACAGAACGGAAGATGTTCCTGCAACCACTTCTGAGTGCGGTTCGAGGTGTGGCACGGAGCCCCATCTTGTTGAAATACAACATTTGGCTTTGGACCGTACTGTTCTTTGATCCACGGAAGAACATACTTACTTAAAATCCCGATGTAGACCTCCGTGTTGACCTTGTCGCCTTCTGGAATGAACACCGGGTCCATGTTCTTGCCATCGGAAGCCACCAATCCAAACACCATAACGCTAGCAGGATGCTTGGTCAGATGCACGTTCTTGTGGTTATCGGCTACGTCTTTTACCGGAAGAGAACTAATATACCGGTCGGTTCTGGAATTTGATACAGGATCGACGGTAAACATGTTCTCGTAGGTGAACAGGATTACCGGATTGTTTCGCTTAAGGAAGTTAAAGATTTTCACTGGATTCACCGAATCTTCCTTTTGATCACAGCGATAACCCTCGGAACCCGAGCTGACCTCGGACGACCTTCGCGGATAATTGTCATTTCTTTTCTCGGTCTAAAACCCTTTTGACGGACCACCGGGACTCTCCCACGGCGATTGAAATGTCTTTTTGCGACATTTGCGCGTGAGACAAATCACGAATACGCTGCCACTTCGTCATGGTGCAACTGTCAAACTAAGTAAATAAATTTCTTTTAAACACAGCCTACTACGGTATGAGCTATAGGTTACGTGCATGCAAAGAAAACCAAGGCATTGTATGCACAGGTGAAACGCGAACCTTATTTGTGCGATGGTGCAAACATTATCACGCATACGGTATATGTTGGACGATGGAACGGGTGTAACGATTTTGATAACGGAGTGCTGCTATGCAAGCGATTGCCCTGATTTCTTCATGCTGGGTGATGGGAATGATTGAACGCAGTCCGGCGCGAAATGATGTACCTAGTTCTTCGGACAAGCATCAGGATGTGCGCTGACACTTCGATTTAGGAGAATCCATGGCGAGACTTGGTAGAGATTCACGGTTGTGTTTTGAAAATAATTTGATTATATTGAGGCAACATCGATAACAAATTTTGACACATGCACACTGCGCAGGCGCAGAAAAAGTTCAGTGTTGCCAGTTACTTTAAAGATCATGTGCCCAAGCTAGTTTTTGGCACACTGTGCGGAGTGAACATCCCCTTGGGTCCAGCATTGCCCGGCAGAATAGCGTCATGGGCAGGCGATGGGGATTACTAAGCTTCCCCTCTCTGATGAACCACTGCATGAGAGAACCAATGATCTAGTCTGGCAGTGACAGTATCATACTTGTTACTCCTTTGTTTGAGAGCCGCGTTGTAGTACGCTTACGTATAGGCGCTGACGTTGGATGCGATACTGGCGGGTATTTCCACAAATCACTCTAATTTTGTTTATTTTTACACAGCTAGATTTATTTGGGTTTGCATGGGAATTATACTGTTAAAATATTTCAGAAAGTGCCCAACAATGCTCCTTCTATTTGCGTGACAAGCTTTCATTGTTGTTTTCATTGAAGTAGTACCAACAATCAATACGAAACTAACGATTTTAAATTGGCTCACTACTTGACTAGCCTATTGGTCCCAAGCAAATCGATTAACTTACCCCATGCTAGTATAAATTCCAGTACTACACTATGTTTGATTTGATTCGCTATGAACAGATAAAATGAGGGGTTCGCGGATTTTCCTATGTTTCGAGGAGTACATCGATTAGCTTGGGACCGAAGAGAGTACCAGAGCTGAGCCAAAAAGTTGAGCTCGTTTCTTCGGGACCTTCTGGTCTTAGAGTTACCTCTATGGTAGTTCTCAGGGAACAATGTTAAACACTATTTTTGTACATGGTATTGCAGCTAATCTTATATATGCTTCATTTTGATTTGGGATAAGTGTTTGAACAATGGCTCGGGATTTGCACTGTGACGTGCTTCTATTGTGACATACCCATTAGACTGATGCAAAATTTTAAAATTTTCGCTCCACAGTGCTTGAACGGTTCCAAATTGGGTCCTGCTTAGCCTCCCAAAATTTGAACTACTTTAGTAAGAAACTGACTTGGCACAAACCATTTCAAGTTTATATGGGAATTACTATGGGAAAACTTATATTTTTGTTCATATATAGGGGAAATGGCTCTAATGTTGGCCTATGGATCTAAGATTGGGCCCATCGCTTAAAATCTGCTATTTATAAATTTTATCTATATGTACGCGTCATTGGGACGGTATTAATGGATATTTTTGGTCGCTATTGAAAATTTAGTCGATTGCTGAATTTATGTATGGGTCCATATTATGGGCATTTAGGCTGACATTACATCCATTTCCCCTATCTAACAATTCACCACATCACTATGCTTTTAAAAATGATAGCAGTGATTGTAGCAAATTTTCTCAGCTATAACTTTGCTGAAAACCACAATTTTCAATCAAATGTAAGGAACAAAAGTTATTAATGATTCGAGTCACTGATGTTATGCTCATTCAAATGTTCAGCAGGCAACCACAATAACCAATTGTGCGATAATGTTTTTTTTTTTTTTTGTGCGATAATGTTGCTGGAAGGCGATTCTTTACTATCCCGTAGATGCGTAAAGGGTGTCCACGATGAAATTGCCACACTATGAAATTGCTCTAACTTTTTAACCGTTGGGTAGAATTTAATGAAAATTTGGGTGGATTTAGTTCATAGTGCATTATTTACATCCTGCAAGTTTTAAAGTCATGTGATCAAAACTCGCGGAAATGGAGTCGAAAGAACAGCTCGTGCGTGATAAAATCTTGCGCATTCATCACGAGAACAAGGATCTCTCGCATCGTTCCATCGCTAAAACGTTGGGAATCGCGAATTCCACGGTGTCGCGAGTGATTAAGCGGTTCGAGGAACGGTTGACCACCGATCGGAAGCCCAGAAGTGAAGGAAAAAGTATTCCGTACAACACCAAAAATCACAACCGCGTAAAGGGTGATACGGTCAAAATTTGGTCAAGGGAAAACGCGTGTAAATCGGTGAAATCGTTTATTTAAAAAATCAAATTAAATTTCTTTTTCAAGTTCAATTAGTATAAAATTCAGGAAAAATATTCAGTTAGGCTTCCGCTTTTCCAAATCCGAATTGCCGGGCCTTACGCTTGACCCCTGCCATCAGATTTTGTACAGCCTGAAAGCCAGTTTGCTTTGAACTGCTGCTCGCCCTTAGCAGTTTTTTTGGTCTTCTTTAGGTTCCGCTTGACAATAGCCCAGTATTTCTCAATTGGGCGGAGCTCTGGCGTGTTGGGAGGGTTCTTGTCCTTGAAAACCACCTGCACGTTGTTGGCGGCGTACCACTCCATGGCCTTTTTACCGTAATGGCAAGATGCCAAATCCGGCCAAAACAGTACGGAACAACCGTGTTTCTTCAGGAAAGGCAGCAGACGTTTATTCAAACACTCTTTCACGTAAATTTCTTGGTTGACAGTCCCGGAAGCTATGAAAATGCTGCTTTTCAAGCCACAGGTACAGATGGCTTGCCAAACCAGATATTTCTTTGCGAACTTTGACAGTTTCATGTGCTTGAAAACATCTGCTACCTTTCCCCTTCCTTTTGCCGTATAAAACTCCTGTCCCGGAAGCTGCTTGTAGTCGGCTTTGACGTAGGTTTCGTCGTCCATTACTACGCAGTCAAACTTCGTCAGCATCGTCGTGTACAGCCTCCGGGATCGCGCTTTGGCCGTCGTATTTTGTTTATCATCGCGATTTGGAGTCACTACCTTCTTGTAAGTCGATAGTCCGGCTCGTTTTTTGGCTCGATGCACGGTTGTAGACGATACACCCAGCTTATTTGCGGCATCTCGGAGAGAGAGGTTAGGGTTTCGCTTGAAACTACCGGCAACTCTCTTTGTCGTCTCAGCGGCTTCCGGTTTTCGATTTCCCCCCGATCCAGACTTCCTGGCTGTCGACAAACGTTCCCCAAACACTTTAATTACATTTGTAACGGTTGATTTGGCAACTTTTAGCGATTTTGCCAACTTTGCGTGCGAGTAGCTCGGATTTTCGCGATGCGCGAGCAAAATTTTGATACGCTGCTCTTCTTGCTTGGACGGCATTTTGACAACTGAAGAGTGAATTCTAAAATCAAAATAGGAGCAAAATTGTACACACACACACCTTCAAAATGAGGGGTGTTCAGGTTTTTTAAATGCAAAATTGAAAGAAATACGTCAAGTTGATATTGACCAAATTTTGACCGTATCACCCTTTAGTTGGGGACTTCAACCGAAATCCGAACGCCTCCGTTAGGGATGTGGCTAAGAAGCTGCACCTAAGCCGAAGTTTTGTCCAGAAGGCCAAAACTAAGGCTGGGCTTCGAACGTTCAAGGTACAAAAGGCCCCTAATCGCGACGAGAAGCAGAACAAGTCCGCCAAAACTCGTGCCAGGAAGTTGTACCTCAACATGCTGACGAAAGTTGAATGCTGCATCATGGACGACGAAACATATGTGAAGGCCGACTTCAAACAGATCCCCGGCAACCTGTTTTTCACGGCCAAGGATAAGTTCAGCGTTTCGGAGCATGTTCGCACTCAGAAGATGTCCAAATTTGCGAAGAAATTCCTGGTTTGGCAAGCCATCTGCACGTGCGGGAAGCGGAGTGCACCTTTCGTGACCCAGGACACGATGAACGGACAGGTGTACATAAAAGAGTGCCTCCAGAAGCGGCTGCTTCCTCTCGTGAAGACCCACAACGTCCCAACAATCTTCTGGCCGGATTTGGCCTCATGCCACTACTCCAAGCACGTGCTGAAGTGGTATGCGGACAATAAGGTCAATTTCGTGCCGAAAATGTTCAACCCTCCCAACACTCCGGAGCTCCGCCCCATCGAGAAGTACTGGGCGATTATGAAGCAGCACCTTCTTAAACGACCTAAGGTAGTGAATACAGTCGAGGAACTGAAGAAAGTATGGGTTTACATGCAAAAAAACGGTTGATTCACAGGTTGTGCAGAATCTTATGGCCGGGGTTAAGGCCAAGGTGCGGGCATTTGCGTATGGACTGTAAATAAAATACGAGTAAAATGGTAAAATGAAGTTTAATAGTTATTTCTCAATCCCTGAAAATTTGATGGCAATCGGATGAAAACTCGAATTTTGCGAATCAATTTTGTGTGTGGCAATTTCATCGTGGACACCCTTATTGGCGTATGTCCACTCAATCCGTTGTTGGCCCTTCATACACCGACATGTTGAGGACAATCAGAGGTTATTATGCTTTATCAAGGCAAACAGAGAAGAGGGCCTACTACTACCGGGCTTAGTTTTCGTGCTACAATGGGTTGTAGACCACCATCATGCATCATGCATCAACATTATGACCACTCTATTTAGTGTACAAATTTTATACCTCTTGCGTGATCCCTAAATCTTCGTCATTCCTTGCCATATATTGCACAGGCTTATATTTTTAAATTATTAATCACTTAGTTAATCACAAAGTTTTTAAAATTTATATTGACTAGTTATTTAGCAAAATTATGTCACGAATATCAGAAAGTGCCAAATGCATATGACAATCGATTTTAAATATCAATGTAGCATCAGTAAATTTCACTTGTAGGTGACAATTTTACTTCACTGTACACATTTTCCAGGTATTTTTGAGATACGGAACATTGAATGTTTGTAATGTATTGTAATTCACAGAAAAAATAACAGCCTTCATGGAAAGGTTATACACCAACGAAACATTAACAGCATAATGAAGTTTAAGTAAAAGTAAGACATGACACAATTTAATTTTAGTTAACGAACATTTTATTCACAAAAACATGCGTTAAAGAAATACAAATTATTACACATAAAACCAACTTAAATGTGGCAATATTGGCTGAAATGATTGCCATCATTTTGATCTAATACATGTACCTTATTTTTACGATAAAATTGATTATTCACATTTGTATAACTACCAATATATTGTTTACTGGGCAAGGATTAACCCATCAATTAAATTCAATTAAATCGACCAATTTATTGTTGTTTCATTGGTTTCTATCGGACAGTCGAACATTTTATCCATCCAAACACTTCTTAACGGATGCAAACGATACCAGACGACATGACTGACCACAAACAATCCAAAAAAACCTCAGAATAGCATGCAGTTTGCTACGCTATTCGGATCACCACATTGATCACGGCTTGACGTAACAGATTGCTATCTCGCCAGAAAGTCAAACAGTTGTTCAATAGCCTTATTTTTTCTTCTATTCTTTCATCCACAGTGACATAAGTCGCGATGGCTTGTCGCAGTCCCACGATAGCGTGTTCTCGGAATCCGCCGGTACGGCCAGCAGCCTGTCGATTACGCTCAAGGTAAGTTTCTATTTTTTTTTTCTCCCGTTTCGAAAATGTAACGTAGATTGTAACGAATGACTTTTCCACTGACTGTGGTACAACATGAGGAGCGTGAAAAGTGAACGGCAATCACCGCAGGAATTCCTTCTAATGGATCTTGCTAGTTGTGTGTGGCTACCACTGAGAGTCTGGGTGAGGCATTGCCAACTATAGGCTAGAGGTCAAGCTCAGAAAGGGGTGGTTGGTTGTCAAGCAGAGAGAATGGACCCCTCAGGGTGAGAGCTTAACTGTAATAGTGCACAGCTGAAGTGAAAGAGCATTGAAGAACTAAATGTTAGTGAAGAGCACTACTAAAAACACCATTAGCATCTGCGTTTATTTGCGTTTGTAGGAAGTTAGCTGGGACAATATGTGCAGTGGAGAAATATCGATCGGAATAATTTAATGGGTACGGAATTGTGGATTTTGCATTCCCACATCAGATGAGAAGTACACACTTAAAAGGAGACCCTGAGTTCGGTAAAAAAAATTACCGTCTTCATCCAATGCTTCCCAGTTTTCAGTGTAGCGTCGAATCTTTCCGTCAAAAATTGCAACACTAACACATTCATCACGACTGCAGCAAAATGTTTGCTTGGGTTGCAGTGACCGTAACCTTGAAACAATATTAAAGCAAATTTCAGTTGAGTTGTTTACCTTTTTAAAAAAATTCAGATCTCTCGGTAATTTTCGATTTGCAAATTGTCCCCAAAATGACAGTGCTCCGGTAAAGTCGACTGTAAATCAAGCAATGCATATCGGTAAACGTTAACGTGGAGGTACCATATTCGAACCACACAATAATGTTCGACTATTTTCAATCTTTATTTTTGAAATGTTACATCTGTAAATATTAGTTCCAGTGCTCTAGGGATGATGGTATGCCAAAGTTTTTGTAAATGTATTGTCAAAATCGAGATACGATCAAAAATAGACTTGTGCATCATTATTAAGACCGCGTCAAATATGGTGCTGGCATGGTGCTGGCATGGTGCTAGCATGGTTCTGTAAATTTGACAGCTAATTTTGCTGGTCCAGTTTGCAGATTTTTCGGTAATGTTCTCGATTACCGAAAACATTACCGACCGTTCAGCTGTTAAGAATTGGTTAAATGAATTTCCGAAGTCGGGGATTTTTTTCTAAGTGTGTACACAGTATAGCTTCTAATTAATTAAGAAGCTCTGCCAAATCATGTATTTTGTTGCATCAATTTTCAATGCATGAATATGGGCATTAGGAAGATATCCTAAATCAATTACACAGGAAATATAAAAGAAAACTTTAATTTATTCCGGCCCACAAATTTGGCAGCTATGTCATAAGCAATCAGAAGTGCCATCTTGGCTCGAACAACATGAGGAGCCAAAACAACTTTTTACATATATTTTATATAGAATTCCTAAAACTATTGTAGTGCTGTTGTACCCAGCAACCCATGATGCCTCATCGTACTATCAATACCATTCTTACCTTTCCTACCATTCTCACCATCCACAGAACGAACTGGCCGACGTGCTGCGGAAACGACGGAAGGATCGCCACAATGAGGCTTCCGATGAGGACCTCGGTTTACCGCAGAGTCCCATCACACCACAGCGTAAGGACCGTGGAATCAACAAGAGCGAGGGATCTCTCAGCATCCTCAGCATGACCAGCTCCGACCTGGACCTGGAGGAACGATCCGCTTTCAATACCAGCGGACTTAATCTACTGCATCTGGATTCGTCTAGTTCCAGTGTGTACAACCGGTCATCCGACAACCAAGATGATAATGGTAACTGCATTTGTCACATTTCTGTTAGCTGAATAAATAAATGAATGGAAACTATTTACAGGAGCGGAATCTCCAGCATCAAAACTCAGCCATTCAGCTGCCAAACACAAGCTTGCCGTTAGACCAAAGAAGAAAGGACCAACACGCGCTCGTGCTCGTCCACGAGAGGTACCATCGTTAATTCACAAAAACATATCATATCATTTGTAAATATTCAACATCCATTTTAGGCATCGGTCCTTCCTGCTACACCGGAAGTCAACGAAGACACACTGAAGCTTTCCACATTGGACATTCCTGCAGAACTACCGTCGATTGTAAATGACGACGAGGAGAAGTGTCACTCTCTTCCATACATGAACCCGGGATCCCTTACCACTACTACACATTCGATGCTCACCAGTAGCAGCAGCACTACTGTCATCAACAAATCCCCAGCAAGACAACCGCAACACATAATGAGCTCCCAATTGTCTGCATCAGTTTCCCTGACGGCTACCTGTGGATCGAATGCCAACCCATCAATCTATGTCAACCGGAACATTTCAAAGAGCTACGATTTCAACGGTCTCAACGGCGAGGGTCACATCATAGAGGAAATCGATCAGGTTGGTGGCAAGAAGGATGACGATGGATTCTTCAAGAGGATCCTGAACTACAGCTTTAAGAAGAAGAAGCACGAGCAAGGTTCGAAGGAGGATCAGTCAGCTTTAGCTCCCGTGGCGTCAACTCGAAAGGACGACAACACCAGTACCGTATACATTACTTCAGGTATGAGTATTGTTCCTGAACCAAGCGTGAAATTGTCACTTCCGATTTGTGAAGCCGACGTACCAGACATGAGTGGATACAAGAAGATCAAAGCCGGACCTGCCGCTAGGCAGAGAGTCTTCCCGAAAGATATCTTCAATGCAGAAGTTGACACACCTCGTGAGAGTCAACGCTACTCATCGAACGTAGAGGTAAATCGTCATTCTACTTCTTCGAATGGCAGTGGATCCATCATCATCAATGGCGATTCGAAGATTGTGCAACACAAGAGCGAAGAATATCTTGTTTCCAAGAGCCGGAAGCTTTCGGAGCGAAGCTTCAACGATGATGAAGACGAAGAGGACGCTGGACGAAAGTATCAGCCAAATGTAGATAAGCTGAAAAATCCCAAGATTTTTGGATTGAGCCAGTATCAGCAAAGAATTGCTAAGATCACGGTCAACCAGAGTGAATCGCCCAAGGAAAGTCCTTCCAAGCGGAAAGCGGTTGAAAAGTCCAAGAGTTTCCGAGTCTACAGTGATAATGTGTCTAACAATTTGACCAACGCGAACAATTTGCCCAGTCTTCCCAATCTGACCAATTCCCTGTCGATCGGCAACTTTACCAACAACTTCTTGGAAACGGAGCACAAATATTTCAGCATGACGGAGAACATAAACGTTGGAAATCAGAAAATTTTCAAGGATTACATCACCAACGTGGACGATCAAGGAGGAGAAGACGGACGAATGGTGACATCGACATCTTCTCTGCAGAAGTTCGAGATCAACGATAACAATCTGTTAAATCCACGTGAGCAAGAGCACGTCGATCATCAGCCCAAGTCCATTGTGCTGACCACTAACACCATAGCTCCACCGGAACCTAACGGTATCCTGAACAAGTCAAACCAAAACATCTCCCAAATAGAGGAGACGATAGATAAACTGGTATCGTCTTCATTCATCAGCATCATCAAAGACACCGGATGCAATGATCGATTGGATCAAGCCGAGCCTCAGTCTCAGAGCAATCATGTACCAGAGTTCATGAAAATTCAGTTGAACCGAGTTGAAACGGCCCGCTCCAAAACGAACGTAGTGCTTTCGACCTCAACGCCACTGAGCAGCACAGCTTCCACTCCTTCGCCTACTCCAGTTTTACAGATGAGCTTGGCAGATGAGTCCATCAAGACTCGACGCTTCAGCAATGAGAATATCGAAATCACCGAAAGTAAGCCTCCACTGCCGCCGTCAGCAGCGGTCGTAGCCGCTAGGAGCAGTTTCATTGAAGCACCAAAGAGTCCTCCAGCGTTCAAACGATCTGAGACTGGATCGAAGCGTAATTCAGTAAATCTGTCACAGGAAGACGATAGAAAAGTGATACTGCAGCGCAGAACTTCCGTAACGGAGGAGAAGATAAAGTACGAGCGAAGGATTTCCTCCTCATCAGAAGATATCAAATTTGAGAGGAAAAAGTCTGGATCAGAAGAAGTGCTGGAGAAGAGGAATAGCAACTACAACAGTGGCTCAAGCAGTGGAGATGAACTTGTAGTTCTGCGGAAGAAATCAATCGTGGATTCTATTAAAGATAAGGATAAGGATACTCCGGAGCTGATGAAAGTGTTTGCGCGAAGATCGTTGAAATTACGCTCGGATGAAGAATACAGGCCTGGGGAAGCGAAGCCATTGTCCAACGTCGATAGCGATAAGGAGAATCAATCCAGTGAAGAGAAGCTGGATAAGCTTGTGAAGCCTGAAAGTGCTTCGGTAGGACCGAAAAGCATCACAGGTGGTATTACCAAGGAGCCTGTGGATGGGAAGACTACACCCGATAACAGTGCGAATGAAGTCCTGAGGAAGAGTACTACGAAGCCGTTTGGTGTACCGAATCGATTCGGAAACACCGCAAATGTGCAGAGCAGGAATACAACTTCGTTTGTAGAACTTCGTAAATCGTTGATTCCTTCCACTACGACCACTACTGCTGCTAATACTAATAATAGTAACAACAACAACTTTGCAAAAATCGTGCCGGACAGCAACGAAAACAATGGCGTCAATGGAACTAACAACAATAACAACAATAGCAATCGCCATACAATCGCTACCATGAATCAGTTCAATTTGAACGCCATCAATAACAACACTAACGGCAATAACACCAATGGAAACAGTACAACCATCGAGGCCATTGGGGATGCGAACGAATTCAAGGGAATTTTGCAAAGAAGGGCCGAATGGGAAAAGCGGGCAAAGGAAGGATTCAAGTGAAAGTAGCGCTCAAACTGAGCCGTGAAAAAATTTAGTGAGTCCACAACCTAGAACTAGAAACCACTGTAGATCAGTGAAGAACATGTAGAATAGCAGTCGCCGAAGATCGTTCTCGATAAATACTTTTGCTCATCGGTGTTTTTCACTACACTAGAAGCTCGCTTGAAAGCTGAGATCACAAGAAACACTCAATATTTACCAAATTTTCGCTCGATTTCTCGTGAAATGAAAGCTTTTCAGTGTTCCATTGAATGTCTCCCCACCGAGCTGCATAAATTGTGTAACCAATCCAGAAACCATTCGTTTGACCAATTAGTAATCTGAAGGTGCACTCGATAGGAGTTTGTTATTCCCACTATGGACGTTATTGCGTGACTAGATAGCTGAAGGAATTGTAAAAAAAAATGATAATGCGCGTTATACACCCCAACACCGAAGACAAAATCATTACTTGATCGGTCTGGTTTTAATAATTTGTTTTTGGAAGCCATCTTTTGGCTTAATAAATCCTTTGATTAGTGCATTGAATTGGACGCAATGCGGTAATGTAAACGATAATCAAAATACGAAATCAATATTAATTTCAACACTAAACAATTGTGATAAAATATTATATTTACGGATAAAAACCTATTCGAACGCGATATTTTTGTTAGAATCTATACTAATAGGTGAATTTGATCATTATTGCCTGTACATTTCCCCTATTGTAACGGTCAAAATTATAATAATTACACTTGTTCTACTTCAGGGTAGTAGTGACATTGAAAATCGATTTTATATATATATTCGGATAGTTACTCATAATTATTGTTTATTTCGTGCGAAATTTACTTCAACGTTAGTTGTTAATTCAATTTTTTACACTCAAAAACGAGAACTGTACATACCGAGAGGTTACATTTGTATTCACTATTAGATTTTAGATGAGGTTCGTCGATAGAACCAGCTCCAGCAAAAAAAAAACACAAGGAATGAACATATTTATGAGGAAATAAATATCACTTAGTCATACCATAAAAAATGTAAAGAAAATAATGATTAGAATAACTCAATCAAAAGTATGTTGATCATAGGGAAAAGAATGATCAGAAAAAAAGAAAACACATCAAAATTACGCAATATATATTTACTGAGTGTTGTAGTATTTTATCCATTCAACTTTTGCAACCTTTACACATTCATCCTAGATGGTCGCCTACTCACACATTCACACAAACACATACATACAGACACATTTAGGCGCCTACATACCAAGATATTTACCCTTGTAAGCTGTTGACGGAGTTCGAGGAGTTTAACAGATGGTTGATTACTATTATCCAGTTGCAGAAGAAACCACAGAAGAAAATGAAGCAAGAATAACAATAGCATTCAGTGTAAATGTAGCTCCTAGTGTCGATAAATAAACTGGTAATAAAATATTATGGAAAAAAAAAACCTAACGTGTTCTCACTGTGTGAGAAATATCACAGATTTTAATGAGTTAAGGACAATGTATATTGTTTTTTTTTTAAATAACCAGTAAATATGTCTAAAAAAGAATTAAGGATAGTTCCTATTCTGATTTTCAAGCCTACTTGATTAATTGTTTGATTGTTTAGAGCCACGCACGATGCATCTGGATCTGATCCGTTGCGGCAAATCTGACAGTTGTACAATAGATGCATGAATCGCTCAAGAATTGGTGCGATCCAAAATCGTTCATTCTCTTATCGTAATTTTTTCCGCATTAGTTTTGTTTACAAAAATGTTTTGTTTCCATTAATGGAAGAAATAGCATTACCCAAGTTACATGACTTAGACTTGAAGAATACTTTAAAACCTTTATAAAACTTGCAATGTTACTTGGGTAAGGATCGAATAAGCTTTTCTTGTTGTTCTGGATAATCCTGATTTTTGCGATTTCTAATAATTAAATTTGATTCAAAGTGGAATTCCGCATGTACTACAGTAATGAGCCAATTTTGTCAACCCTCTTTTTTAATTTCTTTTCTTATCTTGTTCGACACCCTTACCCCACCTTAGACATCCATCTTGAAGATGAGAAAGATTAAGAATTACAATTATGTGCACTGGTATAGCCGTTGTTCAGCTGTATATAGCCAAAAAGGCGAAATAACGCACCAATGGTTACTTGCGTGATGCTTGAAGGAACTGGCAAAATCAGCACATTACTGTATAATACGTCAAAAACCAAAAACAGGAGAAAACGAAAACTGTCTTCACCAGTTTCGTCTCAGACACAGGTACATTCGGATTTCGCTTGTTGGGCTATCTTTAAGTGGTCTACGTTTCAGTTGGGTTCCCAAGTCAAACGTCATTTCTAACAGTGCTGATTCCTTTTCGAAATTTCGACCGGCTTCATGCAAAAACCGTCAAACGAGTTGAGTAATGATTCAGATTATTTCAATGCGATACAACGAATTGCTTCCTTGATGGTTACGAACGATATGGCTGAATGAGGGGTGAAGCTAATTTCTGACTTATCAAGAGATCCACTCGAGACCTAGTTCAACAGCATGATTTGCTCCAGGAGATAGAACAGCATCAAAAAGAGTGCCCTGAGAAATCGTAGAATATATTAAAATGAAATATAATCATTACAATCCAATAACATGGGAAACTCCGAAGTTATTTTAGTCTTTATCTTTACTTTCATTGATATAAGTGAGGACCAGAAAGCATACAGTAAGCCTACTCCCCCCCCCCCCCCCCCCATATCTAACTACGCCTTTTAAATGGAGCACATATTTTTGAATACAACTGAACATACCAACTTGACAAAATCAGAAACACCGAAGTTATTGAAGTTTGAAGCTTTACTTCCATTTATATGAGTGAGGAGGGCGAGATGAGATTGAAAAATTGTTTGTGAATAATTCATCTGAACATACCAAATCGATAAGATACAAACTTCGAAGTTATTTCAGTTTGGAGTCTGACTTTCATTTGTACACCGGCAGCGTTGTCAGAAAAAGGGATTTTTGGCATTTAATTCGAAACATTGATCTTTGAACAGCTATAACTTTTTTTAGGGGCATTCTAACACCACTCAACCGTCAGCAAAACTGTTAGGCACTTCCTGGACTGTACTTTTTGATGCGTGGTTTGTGCAAAATTGGTCCCTAGTAATAAATATGCAAAAAAGTAGGTTTTCCCATACTAATTTCCATACAAATTTCAAACGCAATACGGAAAGCCGGGTTGCAACCAATCGTCCCCAAATTTTGCACAGTTGTTTGAGACCCCAAATGGAACCAAAAAAAAAACATTGTTCTGAAAAAAATGATCATGATGACCCATCCTACTGTAAATATACATTTGTAACAAAATTAAATTAACTAAGTAAAACAATTCCAAATATTCGTTAATGTGAACAAATATCTCCGTTCCTAACTACCTGTACACAGCAAAAAAAAATTGATATCACATCAAAGTGGATACACTTCAATCGTGTCGGAAATATGGTGTAATATTACTTTCCAAATAGGACAAAATTATCATTAATACAGTGCATGAACTGACATTACGCTGCTCTAACTGCATTTGTTTATTTTTGTTACCATAAAAATTACATGAGTTTTTCGACATGATTTAAGTGCATCCTCTTGGATGTAATATTAAAATTTATTTTTTGATGTGTATAAGAATAATGTGACTCATAATGCACAAAATTACACTTGTTGTTGCCAGGTGAATTACGCAAGGTGATGTAATATGAGGGGCTTGGGGGCCTTGGAGCAACCGCTTTTGCTTACTGAGCAGAACATCATGGGTTTAATCTCATACCCAGGGACGGATTTACGGAGAGCCACAGTCCCGAGCCCCACATTTTAAGCCTCCCCACAAATTTTATTTCAAAGCTGTGACGCATGTTTCACTTACATACACCGTATGAAAAATTCATGTAATTTTTTGAGATACATAGCGCACATGTTATTGACGCTACATTTGGCGTTATTTTACACAATATTTCTAGCTTCTAAGCAATTTCGATGTTTGTGCCTACTATAGCACAAAATTAAACGAGAGTCAATTTTACGCGACAACTAAACTGTAGAATTGTTATCTATACAATTTCGACTTTATATCAAATGGCAAACATTATATTTTCTGAACACATTGTACAAAATTCGTATTTGTAGTTTTAAAAAGCATCCAAAGGTACTGTGCAACCAACTAGTAGCGTTGATAATCATAAGAAGTTTACTGCGAAGATCAATTCTCCATATCTGGTTCCTCTTTAAATTAACAGTTGACAGTGAACAGTGAAAAACAATCCGAGATTTTTCGAAAGTTTTACAGCAATCTTGCTTGGCTATCGAGAAAAACATCAAACGAACCAAGCCATGCTAAACCAGCCAAGACAATACAGAGCATCAATGAAGAGAATCAATCATTGCAGAAAGGCCATTCCCAAGTAACCAAAAGTTCTGTTAAAAGGCTATTTGTGGCTTAAGCAGCTTGGTTGAAGGTGGTCTATAGAAATCTAAGCAGCCTCATTTTTAAGTCGTTATAAAAACTTGAAAGTTCCGGTACCATAATTGAAGAGCATTCTTAGCAGGCTCTGGCGGAACTTGAACGGAACTTTTAGAAAATATATTAAAAAAGGTGTTTGTCCTCTACACCAATTCTATATTTAGTTCACACTTTTATGAAAGTTATTTCTAAAGGCAGGTAATGTGTATTGATTTATCAGCATTAATAGTAGAATCGGAGCTGTTTGAAGAATTAAACCCAGTCTTTCTGCATGAGAGCCCCACAGCACGAACCGCTACGTCATCTGAGATATATTAAAGTGAGCTGTTATCCCGCCTACTGTTGGGGTTTTCAGTGCCAGCTGACTGACTTGAACATGAAACACAACACCTTGATGAATTTAAATTGGTGTTTGCCCACATGGTATTCCAACACACTTGTGATGCAGTAGTATCGTACATAACATGCCGAATACACGGGTTCGAATCCAGGAAATGACTCTTTATTTTTTTATTTTTGGATAGAATGTTGATGCACTGCATAAATATATGAATTATGATTTGTTCGGGCAACTGATCATTTCATATTTACATACATTAAGTTTTGTTACTAATAAAGACTTGTGAGGATTGCTTCATGTGGCTTGAAAGTTCTGTCGGAACTTTATTTGACCTTTATGGAAGTTGAAAGTTCTATCGGAACTTTATTTGAACTTTATGGAACTTGAAGGTTCGGTCGGAACTGTATTTGAACTTTATGGAACTTGGAAGTAATTTTAATCGTTGAATGCGGAACTTTTGGTTATATGGTTTATGATTCTGAATGTTATGTAGAAGTATTTTTAGCACACCATTTCAGTCTGATATTTGTCATCATTATAATGTTAGATCTAACGGATTTCTCATAAAAACAGATGGTTTAAAAAGTTTAAAATAAAAAAAACACAGTTTCGATTAGAGGAGTTTTCCCGTCAGATTGAGAGCACAACTGAAGTGTTTCTCTGGAGGCTTTTTTCCGTACAAAATGGCCATATTGAAGCGATTGTGTTTAAGGATTACTTTTCTCTTAATCTTCTTCGGTATATACACATTTCAGTAGTAGTATCAAACTGTCGATATACGTTCCTTCTTTCAAATAAGGAAGATTTCGAGAATACCGAATTTTTTGTTTTAATAAATATAAACATGGGCAATTTCCGATCAAAGAAGGTACACAAGTAGAAAACGTACTTTTCAACAATCTTAATTCTTTAGAAACCATCTGAATCAAAACTTTCTCCAAAAGAAATCAAAACCGATTAATTCTCCAAGAACGGTATACCAATTCGTAATGTACTGCTTTGGATTATAATGTTTGACATAAATAGCAGTCCTTCTAAATTGAAGCTTGCTAAAAAGTTTTTTCTTTCCTTGATTTGTTTTCCATCGATCTTGATTTCTGTGTTGAGCACCAATGCTACCGACGCCAGGGAGGCAGCTCCCTCACCTGGACCCATCAACTCATGAACCGGGGACCAACGGGATTACTTCCCTTCCCAAGGAAGGCGTGACGAGAGATGTTATGCCTCAGAGCATCCTGGCGGCGCCGACTGAGATTTAACCCAGGCTTGCTGGGGTGAGGGGTAATCACGCTTACCACTACACCACCGGCGACGCTGTGCTATAAAGGTTGAACACGACAAAATACGGACAAATTAAAAATGCTCCCATTAAGGCATTTTTGGGTAGTTTATTTTCAAAATTTAACTGAATCAAGCTAAGAGTGTATATTATCATAGAAGGCATTGTTTGTCAGAATAAGCTCATTTGTGTTCATCATGGCTTCACCGGAAAAATCACGTCACGAATCGATCCTACACGCTCGAAACG